AGGGGCGGGGCAGGAGGCCCCTGCCGCTGGGGCCGGGGCTTTCACACTGTCAGTGTGAGGAGCGTGGGAGTGCTGGGGAGGCAGGAACCTCGTCCTTCTAAAGAGAGAAAGGGCAAAAGGAGAGGGAGAGGAGAGGTGATAAAGTGCTTGGAAGAAAAATTGTGTTTTTCAGGACAGAAGCACCGGGTCAAATCCACCCAAGACAACCACTGAGTTTTGCTGGGTTAGCACATTTGTGAGATGTAACAGGCTCAGACGGTGCTTAGCAGAAGCACTAGGTTTCCAACACCATTTCAAACAAAAGCCAAACCCTAACATGAATCCAGTATCTCCAGCCTTTTCTTTTTTACAGTTTCTATGATGCAGTAAATGATAAAATTCAAGCAGATCAGCATGGAATCAGGACAAACAATGAAGTTAAAAAAAGCTCTTGATCTTCTTCGAGTAACTTTCTACAACACTGGAAAGATTCCCTAGATCTTTCTTTGCAGATAGAAGAAATTATACATGGTGCTTTAAAGACATGACAGCAACAGAAATAAAAATGTTGTCATTTCAGTATGAAAAAAGACAATTTTGAACAGCAAGCAGAATCACACTGTGATGCCCTTAAAACAAGTACCAATAAACTAATTTGTTGATGGCAAGGTTAGAGCTTCAACCCCATGGCAGCAGGTGGCTTGCAACTCTTCCACTGTCACTCGGCATGTCAGTATCAGCATGGAACTGGTCATGGAGAACCTCTGTACCAAACAGGTCACACTCTAGATAACATCCAACTTTAGCAAATTCCAGAAGTTTGTTTGTATCAAATATGGTCCTGCAGAACATATGTAACACAAAGTCAGCACTGTAGCAGGAAGAAAAAAAATCTCATGGTACAAGGACAGGTATTTTGCAACTTCCTACTTGAAAGGAACAAACCCAATAACCTAAGATTTGATTCACCCTTTTGAAAAATGGGACCCCTGTTTGACATATGCACCTTAAGCTGCTACACAGCATTGTCTTTCTCACATTCATCTGGGACTTCATGCATTAATAAAAACAAAACAAAATCAACCTTTGCCCCTTGAAATAATGAAACATTTACAATAATCTTTAAATGGAAACAGGAAAGTTACTGACTTTTGCTATCACTAGCCCTCTCAACAGACAACCTAACAAGGAAGGACATTTAAGGAGGAGATTAATTCATAGCGACATTTAAAAAAACCACAATGGATTACTTACACAAGACAGATTTACTTTCCCAAAACAGTTACAGGAGATAGGTATATCCAGGGCTTCTTTCATCCATCACACACCAGTAATACACAACTTTGCCTTTAGTTTCTATTCTGTACAGTCATGTCTCAAGATTGTCATTAGAAGAGCAATATATCACTGCTTGCACTGGGACCTGGCCAGAACGCCTTCAGGAAACACTCTCACCAAAATACATAATGGCACTCTGACTACCTGGGACAGTGGCTCTGCAGCAGGTTTGAAAACTGAAGGAATGAAGCTACTAAAACCCATCATTCCTTTCCAAAAGAATAACTGGAACATTGTTGCTTCTTTGAAACATCTTTAGTAAGAGTATAAGCTATCCAAAGGAGAACAAAAACACTCACATGATACATAATAATTTTACCTTTATGCCCACAACACAATTTTTTACATCTAAGGAAAAACAAGTTTCCACAGCACAGTTAACTCAAAGGGCAGTAGTTTCATTTTGTTATTACTGCAGATATTGATGTCACAAAGTCATTTTGCCCTATACGATTACATCACAGTCTGTTGCTATGGAAATGACTGATGTCACGATTTCAATATTATGACTTAACACCAGTAGGACCAAGTAGGAGGAACAGATGGGTTGAGAAAGAGAAAACTCTTGTTCCAACAAGTCTGCCATCAGCAGGAGTTTAACATTTGCCAACAGTAATTAATAAAATATGTTATCTAAGAAAAAAAACTATATTTTACAGAAATGGAACATTTATCACTAAATGAGTTTTCAAAGTGCAGAACAAGAAAACGGGTTACTTTGGGTCCAGCCAAAAAAAATGCTTTTAAAAAGCATTTTTAAAACTCTAGTTCGTGTTGTGCTTTGAGGTGCTCTGTCCCAGTGAAGAGCAGGGGAGCCTTTCTTCATTCAGCCATTGGGTCCCCTTATAAGCCACATGGACGTGGCAGCAGGAGCAGTTCTCAGCTCACAGTGCTAATCTCTGGTGCTGGAATGAGATGTTTGGACAACATGCACCCCTGAGCGGCCCCCAAATGAATGGAAAAGCAGATGGGACACAGGGAAGCATCCTGCAATTTGCCCTCATCCATATAAATCACTGCTGGGATACCCACCAAACAAACCATTATCAAGCAAGCATTCACAACAGCTGCTGTGAGTCTTCTAAGAAAAGCTACTAGGTGAATGAATATTGATCTCTACCAAGATACCTTTACATCCTTAATCCCAAATAAACGGCCAAAGTCAAGACTCAGCAGCTTTTGCTTCCCAGACTTTACCTACACCAGCAGTGCTACCTTTTGTTCTAAGGTGCTAAATTGCAAAAGGCGGTAGCCAGCATTTTAGTTTGATCATCTGATTGTGAATCCAGCTGAAAACTACCATTCTGTCTATGTCAAAAGCAGACATGAAATATGGAGCTATGTACAAATTTATCTCACATTTAAGGGACTGAGATGCTCCTACGTGGATTCTTCTCAGTGGAGGAGACTTCAAATGTTAAATGCACATTGCTAAGACAAACTTCACAGTAGCTTAGAGTCTATGTTACAGCAAATGCCAACATGAATGTGTGAAAGTAATGATAAAAGGAGCATAAGGAAATGTCATATTGTGCATCTGTGGTTGTTAGTGAAACTACACCTCTGTCTTGACTGTGTCCCTACTTAAGATTGCTTATTTTCCACCAATAAATCACTGGATTCAGTGATTTACAACAGTATATAAAGGAAAACAAACAAACAAACAAACAAAAAATAAAAAAAGGATGTTTATGTTGTATCAAAACGGCTACATAACTACTGACACCTGAAATTTGCTCAGTCCTCTTTCATAAAAATATTTAAGTAATCAGTTTTTCTTTAGAAAGGAGAGAAAAAAAATGTCTATAGATACAGTGAAATGCAGGTAAGTACATAAAGCAAGCCCATATAATTTATATCTAATCAAGTATAAGTAACATCTCATGGCACTGAATTTTATGCTCCTAAAATCCCCAAGTAAAACACTGAGCTCTGTGTGAATACAAAACACTCGTGGCTCAATTTGCAAGCTCTTAAAGCCTGTAGCTGTTAGAAATTTGGAGCACTGTGCTCTTGCCCGTATTACACTCATACTGAGGGCAAATAATTCAATTTCTGAGAATCATATGACCACGAACAGTCTCCATTATTCAGCAGCTGGCCAAACTAATCAATGCTTGGACATTTTCCAGCTCAGCACCAGAAACTCAAGGTCACACGACTGACCTGGCAATAGTGTTGTGTTTCTAAACTGGAGACAAAAAAAACACCTCAATTCCCCTCCATGTCTTATGTGGGGCTCCTAGTTTTTGTTCTCAGGGAAACTAAAAGTTAGCTCTCTGGTCTATGCTAAGAACTAACAAAAACATAGCTTTTTTCTTTGTAAGCAGTATTTCTTATGTCTGGTACCAGATTAAAGATCTGCCTTCTGCTTTGATCCAGAATCCAGCCAAATCAGGGAGTTCTCCCTTAGCTTCTGCGAGATTGTCGTAAGGCCCTTAAGAGTGGCCCTGTTTTCAAAAACACTGGAAGCCTAGCAGCTTCCCACTCAATTTGGTGAGAGCTGCTCAATGCCCAATCCCAGAACAGGGATCTGTGCAGGGATACGAACTAGTGGCTTCCCATTTTCTAAAAAGTTTTAACCATCGACTTTTAAAATTAAGTTGACTCATTTGCAAACTGTGACAGATATTTTTCCAAATGTTCTCACTAGTTTTCCTCTGCATTCATAGCCTCCTGCCTTGGAGAGTTCCCTCCCCTCTTCTCCTTATCATCACATTTTCTTAATAAAAGATGAATGAATATTTATTATTACAAGAATATCCAGGGACCTCAGTCATTATTAACACATTGTCTTAGGCACCATACAAACAATCTGATATAGATCTGCAAAGTCTGGACAAATGGTAGAGAAGAGAGATATAACACACACCCTCAGCAGAACAATGATTTGCAACTGTCCTGTAAGTACTGCAATTATATAGACTTTTTACAAGAACTTTGGGTGATCTCATCGGGAAGCAATTAGTGAGAAAAAGAGACAAGAGGCAGAAGGGATATACTCCTTCCTTAAAAATTCTGAAAACAACAGGATAATTGGGGCTGTACCAGATGCCCAAACATAAGAGTACTTTATTTTCCTTTTACTGCTGCATTTTAACAAATCCCTGAGAGAAAATGGAGCTTAAGAATTGGAAATGCTGACAGATAATCCCAGCATGCACAAATAGTGCTGGTCCAGCTATAACATGCAAGTAGTAATGCCGTGCCAAACTTTTTCACATTGAGAAATTGTAGTTTTCAACTATTTTGCTGGAACCTCTCTCCAACTTTGACTTATCCAGGTATACTCATAAGAGAGAGGAATGGTTAAGACTTACCTGCCCCACTGTCACAACCTGTGTTTGATAAGAATGAGTAGAATCCACATAAAACCCAGCTCCAGCAATAATACAGACTCCAGTTTCTTCAGCAAGCTTCTTCGAAGTATTCATATCCTAACCAATTCCTGTGGTTGTGCTTTCCACAATCATCCCACCACTTGCTGCTTTAAAATGCATCTACTTCCTGATACAAAGGAAGGTTTTCTTTATGGCTGTAGGGATTTTGCTTAATCCAAAACAACTTCTTCATCTCAACGGGCCCATCAGACAGAGGCTTTTGGCCTGGAGAAGGTGAACAAAAACAACTGCTGTAGTTCATAGTCAAGTGTTCATAAGTCAACATATAGCCAAGGCATTCTGGCTCCACGGGGCCCAAGACAGTCTGCGCTTTCCCTCTCAACGAAGGCATTTTCTTCAACAAAAGGGAAAAAACAGATTCTAAAAGAGTCTGGGAAGGAAGAAGAAATGAAACAAACCGTTCAGAAAGAGCAAACCTTTCTTACACAATTTCTGAATTCCCTCCTCTCTCTCTCATGCATATACCTACACACTGAATATTCACTGGAACATTGTCAAATGCTGTTTCCAGCAGAGTGGTCAATATGAAAACAAAAGCATTTCTTTTACCCAGCTGCGCTTTTCGCAGTACACTAGCAATGCAAAACTATCATGCCAGTACGAGGAAATCACCACCATTTATTGTACTATAGTCAATATCACATTAAGATAAATGTTTCCTATTTAATAACCAGCACTGTACATGCATTTAGGATTATCTGCTCCTCGGTAGCTGTCAGGTTTTGTCAGCTTGAGCCACCAGATGAACGTACCCAAAGCTGAATATTCCTTACTGGTACATTCGGTTTATTTATCTGTGTCCTCTAAGACTCACTGTCCCCCTTGCATGCTGAGGAAGCTGTGCACGTTGGGGCTCCTTGTCTGCTCCTCTGTATGAGGAATGCAGGGATGGGGTGATCATCTGCTCCTTCAGCTTCAGCCGCAGCTCAGGTTCTCCTGCCAGCTGCACCGTGGAGGTCTGGAACAGCCCAGGACTACAGTCACTAAAGATACAGCGTGGCCCCTACCAGCAGGGCAGAAGCCAAAGTGCTTCTTCCATCAGCTTCAATGGCCAAATATTTTACTAGTTAAGAACAGACCTTAACCTAACAATTTATATGGCTCAGCCTCCAAAAGACTTCTTTCTTCATCTTTAACATGAATGAAACAATGTTATTTCTCAAAACTCCAAATGATCGGTGAAAAAGAGATCTACTGAGGCCACTGTCTGCTGTTGGTTCATGTCACAGGCACCTGCCCTATCCAAGTTTGGCCTGACTCACTGCAGGTCAGAATTAGCTGCAGCTCTCCCCATTGGGATTTTGGGGTATTTTTTTCTCTTGGGAGTGGAAGTAGTCTTTTTCATTTACATGCCATATTAACATTAAACATAGCTGACTACCCAGTTGATGTTCGATATTCCTGATGCTAGTTGCAAAGGCTTGAGGATATATAGTTTTAATCCCTAGTCAACCAAAATCATCAGTTATAAAACAAAATACATGCTTAATCATGTCCAGAGGACAGGACTAACTAGAGCATGCATTATTGATTAAAGAGAGAGGTCTTTCCCATTTCTGTCTCCCTTTTGGTGAATAATATCATAAACATGGGTTTGTTACTGGTAAAGCCTTCAGAGGACATTTTCCTTTTAACTGCTAAAGCTGATCTACCAGGATGACAGAAAAACTGAAACCTGAAGGGCACTGAACTCTACATATCAAAGGGCACAAGAACATCAGGATCTCTTTGAGGATGCTTTCATCTCACGAGAAGCAGTCATTGTCAGAGTACCAATGTGCAAAAGTGACCCAGGTCCTGCAAAAGGCAGCTTGCACCTGCCTAGTGAAGTCTGTAGGGCTGGCAGGTTTTTTAATATGCAAACATCATCACCCCTAAGAAAGATAAAGGACTGACTGACTGTGTTTGCTTGCCTTGTGTAAAAGCAGACTTAGGAAGAACTGTTCTTTTATGAATTTCATTTCTAGACTGGTGTGTTGACTTGTTTGAGAAGGCAGAATAATTACTCTCATAGAACAGACTGCTGGCTGATTAATGTAATGATTTAGGTTTTGCCAAATAAGAAGTGCATGATTTCAGAAAATATTATTCTTGAGCAAATAATTAAAAGCAAAATACCTGTCTTAGTCAGAAACTGCTGTGAGCTGCAGTTCAATTAAGTTGTCCAACCCCGTCATTAATTCCATCCTTGAACAAAGCTGGTGCTTTATAGAGTGACCCATTATTTTGGAGAAAGTTCAATGATCTGATAAATTCTTATACACACAACAAAGAGACTAATATAATTCTAAGATAATTATATTATTTTGCCTTATTTTGGGCTTTTTTTTTTTTAATGTGAAATACCTACACTTTGGTGTTCAGCTAAACCCTGACACCATAAAGAGTGATAACTACTCTCTGTACTGGAGACACGCTTTACTTCCCCCAGGTTCACTGACAGTTTTCAAATTAATTTATTAAGTTAGGAAAATAAACCTACATAAATATTTTTCTTTATAAGTACTAAAGTTCTTTTTATAACATTTAATACAAATCAATTACAGTCCGTTTCCTTCAAAAATTTCCACTCCAGCATTTTAGTTCATAGCGCAGTTACTCAAAAAGGCCACTTGAGCAGAAGTTTTTGCAGAATTTTTGCTCAATTTCAGATTACTACTCTGATAAAAAGCTGACCTTCAACATTTGCTCCCACTAATTCATTTCCAACACAGTTCATTTAGATTATCCTCAACTAATCTGGCCCACCTGCTACCTATTGTGGCATGTGTGGTCTCATTACAGCCTGAGGCTGCTGTCTTCTGATTTATAATAGCAGGAAATATCTAAAATTGCCAGGTCCAGGTTTCCCTAGGAGCAGATACCGATCTGTTGTTTTTTAGACTCTAGATTTCAGATTATAGCATGCATACATAGTTTACAGAACCAATGCCTACTTTTGAACCTTTTGATTGAGGTCAAGAATTTTCATAAATAAAATGAGCATTCACAAAAATGGAAACCGACATGAACAGCATTTAAAGGAGGCCTAATTTTATCTGCATGAAAAATACAATTAATATTAATGCCTGTGCCTGCTTACCAACATAGTTTTAGAAACTCGCCACTTTTAATAAAAAAATCATGAAAAATAAAGACAGACAACAACCTGTGACTGGAATTACTTTTAAAACCACTGTCCTGATATCTTCCTTACTGTTATTTACATAGCCAGTATGCCCTGATTACACTACAATGATACATTATTCCTAACAAGATTCACTGGATGGAACCAGAATTTATTCAGTGTCTTTAAAACAGACTCTAGGTGCAAGCAGCTTTTAGATCAAATAAGGACTGCTGCTTAATTTAAGCATGTATATGTTTATTCTAGAAATCAATGTTTGTGTGCTTTACTAATGACTTGCATGCCATGTTTTATACAGAACTTTATCCTGAGAAAGTTTCTTCTTTCATACACCAAGGACTGAATTCGTATCACCTCATTTAGCCACCTACAATGATGTATGTCTTCTACAGAATAATCGTCTAGACCACTTTCATAGTGGAATGGAAAGGCACATCCACAGCCAACTCACTCAGCCTATTCTGAATGACTGTAATAGGACATGACCAGTCACTTTCTGTAATATCGCTTCCTTCCATGGACTATGGAGAGAGCCAAGAAACAATCCTGGACAAGACAAGTGCATTTTAGGTGGTTCTACATATGACATGTGAATTAGATTTCCTGAACCTTAACTCAGTGAGGAGAGGGGAGAAATGTGCTGATTCCTATGAAAACAAACAAACAAACAAACAAGCAAACAAACAAAAAAACCAACAACAAGTAGGCTCTAATCTGGCAGTAATGTGTATTTGGGGGTTTGGAAATCACTGATTTATGCTGTGGTATAGCCAAGGTGCTCCTGTATAAACCAGGGCTTCTCTGCTCTAGGTGCTGTATAAACAGAGAAATAAATGGTATTTCCTGAAAACTACATATTCAGACAAAAAGAAAATGTGAATTGCGTGAAGATATAACCAAAACTTGGATTATTTAACAACAGCCTTGAAAGAATACCTTAACACTGCTGTAGTAAACTCTGCACAAACCTTTACAACCACTAGTTATATGGTGCATAAAATACGACTCTCATTATTACCCAATTATTAAATACTGGTGAAGTAAATGTTTTTCTAGCAGTAGTGTTAAGATAAAAGAGACTTGCTGCTAAAAAGGTCATGTTACCGCATTCCTGACTCTGGTAAAAACTCCACTGAGTTCAATAGATGTTTTGCTTGAATACTGATGACAAGATTTGTGTTTCCACTTTTCCCACCTGAAATCAGCGCTTCAGTCACTGTGTCATTTTAATGGTCTTGTAATGAGAAGCCTCCCTAGGTTTGGATTAGTCGCTTCCTATGGCAATGTCATATTGCTGAAACATAATCACATAAGCACAGTTTCCATATGCCAACGGTACATTTGTTTTGATTCAGTAAGCACACTTTAATGGTATTAGCCCTAGACTTGTATGGGAAGCATTTCATTGCCGTTCCATTACAATGTGAGATTACAGCCATGCTAAATCCAGACTGCTGTGAGACAAAATTTACAAAAAAAGCAAAAAAGAATGGCTCAATAGGTACTTATTATATACAGAATAAGATAAAAACAGCTGCCATTTAGAAACAAGGGCTGGACTAGCTGCATCAACAGCATTGGAAGTGGATCTTTCCTTTATAACCATGCAGTCATAGGAAAAGTGACAGTGCAGGTTTGCTTTGTGTTTACAGAAGGAAATGCTTTGCGCATTTAGTTCTACTGTGAGCAACCTCTACGGAGCATGGGAAAGCCCCAAATTAGAAATATATGACACATCTGTAGTAAATTACCGTTAGCTAGTCTATGTTGTGTTGTCTTACCATTCCCCATACATAAACATCTTGCAACAAGGGAAAAAGCAAGATAAAAGGAGAGGCAAAGGGTAAGAGGACACATGTAGACTACGTCAGGAAAAGTTAAAAAAAATTAACTTCTCTCTCCCCCCATGCTTCTGCCAACACTGTAGAAGTTTACAGGGTGGAAGGAACTCTACTGCCAGCACAGTTCTTCTTCTTCACCACCAGACAAGCAAGTCTTCCAACCTCTCTGACAGATGGGCGCCAGATCTACTTTACCTTCTTCAAAAACCTATGCAGAACTGCTAATTACAGGACAAACATGCCTGAAACCCAGCTCTCTCTCATACACTGGTTTCCATAAGCATGGCTATTTTTGCTCAGGCACAACATCAGAGAAGTGGAGCTACAAGGACTGTGGGGGGGGGGTGCCCACCATGGCTGGCT